GCTTAAGTTTTCCTTCATAAGCTCAATACTAGGTTTATATCATAGCTAACAAACTCTAAAGGGTTGTTTTCATTATTATACAATTAGCTTAAGTTTTCATCATATCTTAAGCAGTATGGTTACATTATAAAGGTATAGCTAACAAAACTCGACGGAGTTTTGTTATTATATATATATAGCTTAAGTTTCATCATAACTTAAGCTCAGTACTATAAGCTTAGTACTATGGTTACACTATAAACATATTAGCTAATAAACTCTACAGAGTTTTTTGGCTATTATATATGTAGCTTAAGTTAATAATATCTTAAGCACAATACTATACTCATATTGTAAAATATATTAGCTAACAAACTCTACGGAGTTCTGCTATTATATATGTTGCTTAAGTTCATTATATCTTAAGCACACTACTATACTCATATTGTAAAATATATTAGCTAACAAACTCTACGGAGTTTTGCTATTATATATGTAGCTTAAGTTAATTATATCTTAAGCTCAGTACTATACTAATATTATAAATATATATTAGCTAACAAACTCTACAGAGTTTGGCTATTATATATGTAGCTTAAGTTAATTATAGCTTAAGCACAGTACTATACTCATATTATAAAAATATATTAGCTAACAAACTCTACAGAGTTTGGCTATTATATATGTAGCTTAAGTTAATTATAGCTTAAGCACAGTACTATACTCATATTATAAAAATATATTAGCTAACAAACTCTACAGAGTTTTTGCTATTATATATGTAGCTAAAGCTTATTCATATCTTAAGCTCAGCATTATATCTATATCATATAAGTATATTAATTAACAAACTCTAAAGAGTTTGCTATTATATAATTAGCTTAAGTTTAATCATATCTTAAGCTTAGTACTATGTTATATCTTAAAGTATTTTAGCTAACAAACTCTAAGGAGTTTATACTAGCATATTAACAAGCTTAAGTCTATTAGTCTTAAGCATTGTATTAATGTTATATATACTTTATCATAATAAGTACATGGTAATAACCTTTATATGGCAGCTGATAAGTTAGCAGCAGGAATTCATCAATTCAGTGCCTTTATGAAGTTCCCATAGGGTTATTACAATCATCACAGTTCAAATCACTAATTATTAAAAATCCAAAGTATTAGATATTCCCACCTCCGTTCAGTAGGATGCTACAAGCAAAGAGATGAGTCAGGATAAGGAAAAATATGTAATTTTGGAGTAAAATTGATATTTTATACTTATCCTGACTCATGAGGTCAGCCCTCCCATCCTCCCCAAATAACACTTTGGATTTCCCTGTAAATTCAAATGTTGGGCTCAGTATATGAGGAGAGAGTGAGGCACATGGGTAGAGGTGGCGCCCTCGTTCCCGCGCTTGTGGAAAGGAGGTAACTCGTGGTGAATACTAATTAGTGATTTTAAATTGAAGGGAGCTTCAATTAGGGAGATACAAGTGTTCCACTATGTTCGCAAGAAGAAGAAGACAAGCAAAAAGAGCATGAGTCAGGATAAGTATAAAATATCAATTTTACTCCAAAAATTACATTATTGGTCGGAGACAGATAATGAAACATGGTACCACAAGTTGACCCCCCATGGTTTTCATAGTTTTCAGTTTTGATAATCTACAAATGTTGTATATGTAAGGAGTAATAGTGGATATTGGTATTTTACAATCCGTGATAATCTTTAGTCTGAATGCTCTTGAAGAATTCCAGGTGTGGGTATCCATGTAACAGCGCCAAGAGTAGCACTTTGTGTGAAACATTCTCAGAAATGGCATCCAGTGGTGGATAGACAATGCTGTGTGGTTGATATAACACTCTATCACCATATCCTGCAATGTAGACTGTCTGCACTATTTATCACCCACTATAAGTAATTTATTTATGCTGCCTTTCCCATCTGGGTTCCTGCCTGATAGAGGTAGTTGTCAGGTGGAGAGTTGGTAACAGCTGATGTTTTTTTCCGGTGAATAGACGCAAAATTTGTTACTTCAGCAAGGAATGTGCAGGCTTCAGGATAATGTTCCTTGATGGTGAATATTATGGTTACATATATTCACTCAGTATACGACCGCCACCGTGGTGTAGTGGTTAGAGCGTCCGCCCGGAGCGCGGAAGGTCGCGGGTTCGATCCCCGACCGCGTCATACCAAAAGACTTTAAAATGTGGTACTTTTTGGTCCCTGTCTGGCTCTCGGCATTAATGGGTACAACAAGGACTGGTCGGCTCGAAGTCAGTATAATGTGTCTGAGTGGGGTATTCATGCTTCACTGCGGCATGGTATCTCAGTGGGCTAGCACTATAAAACCAGCTTAAGTCTGGACTAGTACAAGCAGCCGCACATACACATACACACGCATGCACGTCGTCATATGAGCGAAATATTCTCAAGCACGACGTAAAACCCAATTTCACCTCACCTCACCTCACTCAGTATACGATTCTTGTTGGAGAGGTTCATACAAGTACTTGTCTATTTTTTGTCATCGGTTCCCAAATGCACAGGTTGATGCTCATGCTGTTGATCGCTGGATTGTCTGGTCCAGACTCGATTATTTACAGACTGCCGGAATATAGCTGGAATATTGCTGAGTGCGGCATAAAACTAACCTTACTCTCTCACTCACTCACTCACTCACTCACTCACTCACTATTTGTCTATTGTACCAATGTGGTGAGACTTCAGGTATAGACACCATCAGTCATGTCATTTGGGCGGTGGGGTAGCCTAGTGGTTAAAGCATTGGCTCATCACGCCGAAGACCCGGGTTCGAATTCCCACATGGGTACAATGTGTGAAGCCCATTTCTGGTGTTCCCCCACCGTGATGTTGCTGGAATATTGCTAAAAGTGGCGTAAAACCAAACTCAGTCAGTCAGTCATGTCGTAGTAGTCTACACCTCATTGTGTTTGTGACATTACTAAATTCTGCGACAAAACTGGTCTATTATCAGTGCTGGCTATATGAATAGATCACAGAGATCGATCATCGTCAACTAAATATCAATCAATAATCAATAAATAATGCAGGAGTAACTCTGAACGGAAAAGAAAAGGAATTTTTTAAGGAATCAACTTATTTCACATTACTGTTGAGCAATAAGATATTTATGCATGGATTACCAACAAGAACAGCATTGAGAACAGTATTTACAAGTGGCCCATGAATACAGACATAACATTGGGTATTGCCACATGTCACATGTGTAAATTAGAACATTCTTCCCCCACAGTAGATAACTAAAGACATTATTGATGACACAGTTAATGCATCAATAATTGTTAATAATTCAGCTGACAAATACATCTTATTATCTGTTCATTCAGCCCACCTAACTATCTATATTGTTGTTATTTTGAGACTATTTTGATTATTTTGAGATTGCATCTGAACCTGTGCCACTGCCTTTCTTCCACATAAAAACTGGCTGTATTCACATGCCTGTTTTGAAGCCATTAAATCCATTCACTTCTCACTTTTCAGACCATTATTCACTTAAATCATCATTTTATTACAAGAGTTCATGATTTAAATGAGGTGGCCACCTCACAAGCAAGTAAATATATTTGAGAACTCCTTCAAGCAGTGCTCCCTGCAACTGCTTGTCAGTATGTGTTGCTGAAATTTCACATTTTCAGACTAATTCTTTAGAAATCTGTCAACTGAAAAGACTTGCAGTGGTGATCGAGGGTTGTATGAGAATAGAATTAAAACCAACACTTAAAAGTGCCACTTAATAGATTCTGTTGTGTGGTCATTTAAGACGTGGGGAAGCTTTGATACCTGTCTGGTTTTGAAAGTCTAACAGGAATGCCCAAGATGGATGTATTGTTTGTGAAAAACGGTGCTGAGTGTTTAATGGGTGTGAGGGGTGACTCCATTTCACCACTCACTAACTGTATACAAAGTGTCGTGACGAACGCAAGGCCGACACAAGTGATACAGACCAGCTTTACCAAGTAACACCACGAGGAAGTGAGACAGTGCGTCTGTTGTATGAATTTGAATTAGGACGTCTATGTACTTTATACACGCCTACGGAAAGAATTTAAGAACTTAAAAAATTAAGACGCTTGGTAGACTGCTTAAAGAGTTGAGGGACTTTAGACTATCTGTGAAACACTGTGATGTTGTGTGTTGTCAGGGACTGGTTGTGCTCTGTGGTACTGTCATGGTGGACAGTTTTAAATAGGTGGAGACTTGTGGGATTGTAGGTGCAGCAAAGATGTTGGTCAGCTGTACAGATGTCAGAACTAGATATTATAGATTGAGGTGACCTGACCGTCTTGATGAAACTATGATATTTGGTTGCCTCCACTATAGTAAAAGGATTGAAACTGGCAGATTGTGCAGGTCAAATACAAGTTATATAAAATGTGCAATTAAATATTGTATGATTTTTGTACTTTGTAAGTCCAACTTACAGTGCATTAATTATAATTAAATTGTACAAAAATATTATAATAAAACATTGATAGACTAGAGAAGGACTCTCTTCTTGGAATATATATTTAAAAATACAAATTGTGATGATGATGATGATGATGATGATGATGATGATGATGAAGGGATATCCTTGTAAATATATAGATTAGAGATCTGTTAGATGTGTTCTGACATTAAGCGTGCTCTGTTGCACAAATGTTCCATTGAAGAATGATGGATGTGCATGTCTTCTACCCTTACACTACTTTATTAATTGATGTTGGTCGTATATTTGACCATGATACCAATGCCTGTGTTCATCTGAGAAGCAGGAGCACGGTTTGAAATGTTGAAGTAATTTTGACATGTACAAGCATCAATTACAGCCACTATTAGCATGTGGACTGGAACATTTAGCTGGGTCGCTGTGACCTTGTCTAAGCCTAAACACTCCTTGTCTGTGTGAAGGCTTTACATGCTGCTGTGTGTCAGCCAGCCTCCCTCCCTCCCCACATGTATGTGACCCTTCACCTCTGACCGATTGTTGCATCTATTTCAGGGTCGCCACACAAAAACTGGACAGCTGGCAGCTATTAAGGTTATGAATGTGACCGAGGTAAGAAATGAGGCAATAGAATAAAATAGAGTGTTAAAAATGGGTAATATGTGAACTGAAAAAAAATTATCTGAAAGGAATGAATGCATGTTTAATTTTATTTTGCATGCACTGACGTTTACAGTACCAGACAATACGTAAGCTGCCCCAATGAAACCGTCACTCAGTAATACAACAGATATCACCTTGTACTGTTTCTTTTACTCTCACAGTGGCAGTTATGTGGTGGTCCTTACAAAATATACAGTAACAGCATATTTTTACATATACAGTAGCAGTTAGTGGTGTATATTTTTACATATACAGTAACAGTTAATGGTGTATATTTATACATATACAGTAGCAGTTAGTGGTGTATATTTATTCATATACAGTAACAGTTAGTGGTGTATATTTTTACATGTACAGTAGCAGTTAGTGGTGTATATATATTCATATACAGTAACAGTTAGTGGTGTATATTTTTACATATACAGTAACAGTTAGTGGTGTATATTTATACATATACAGTAACAGTTAGTGGTGTATATTTATACATATACAGTAACAGTTAGTGGTGCATATTTTTACATATACAGTAGCAGTTAGTGGTGTATATATTTACAATACAGTAGCAGTTAGTGGTGTATATTTATAGATATACAGTAAAACTTAGTGGTGTATATTTATACATATACAGTAACAGTTAGTGGTGCATATTTTTACATATACAGTAGCAGTTAGTGGTGTATATATTTACATATACAGTAGCAGTTAGTGGCGTACATTTTTACATATACAGTAGCAGTTAGTGGTTTATATTTTAACACATACAGTTGCAGCTAGTGGTGTAAATTTATACATATACAGTAACAGTAAGTGGTGTATATATTTAGATATACAGCAGCAGTTAGTGTATATATTTAGATATACTGTAGCAGTTAGTGGTGTATATTTTAACACATACAATAGCAGTTAGTGGTGTATATTTTAACACATACAGTAGCAGTTAGTGGTGTATAGTTTAACACATACAGTAGCAGTTAATGGTTAGATATACACAGAGTAGCAGTTAGTGGTGTATAGTTTAACACGTACAGTAGCAGTTAGTGGTGTATAATTTAACACATACAGTAGCAGTTAGTGGTGTACATTTTAATACATACAGTAGCAGTTAGTGGTGTATAGTTTAACACATACAGTAGCAGTTAGTGGTTAGATATACATATACAGTAGCAGTAAGTGGTGTATATTTTAACACATACAGTAGCAGTTAGTGGGGTATATATTATAACACATACAGTAGCAGTTAGTGGGGTATATTTTAACACATACAGTAACAGTTAGTGGTGTATAGTTTAACACATACAGTAGCAGTTAGTGGTATATAGTTTAACACATACAGTAGCAGTTAGTGGTGTATATTTTAACGCATACAGTAGCAGTTAGTGGTGTATAGTTTAACACATACAGTAGCAGTTAGTGGTATATAGTTTAACACATACAGTAGCAGTTAGTGGTGTACAGTTTAACACATACATTAGCACTTAGTGGTGTATATTTTAACACATACATTAGCAGTTAGTGGTGAGATATACACATACAGTAGCAGTTAGTGGTTAGATATACACATACAGTAGCAGTTAGTGGTTAGATATACACATACAGTAGCAGTTAGTGGTTAGATATACACATACAGTAGCAGTTAGTGGTTAGATATACACATACAGTAGCAGTTAGTGGTTAGATATACACATACAGTAGCAGTTAGTGGTGAGATATACACATACAGTAGCAGTTAGTGGTTAGATATACACAGTAGCAGTTATTATACAGTAGCAGTTAGTGGTGTATAGTTTAACACATACAGTAGCAGTTAGTGGTGAGATATACACATACAGTAGCAGTTAGTGGTTAGATATACACATACAGTAGCAGTTAGTGGTTAGATATACATATTTAAGGGTGTGCAATGTACAGTAGTAGTTAAGGGTGTTTTCCTTTACATTATCAGTAGCTGTTACTCATGATTTGTCCCTTTTTACATATAACACAGTTGTGTTTGGTGCCCTTTTATACATCGGACTTCTACAAGGTAAACAGAAATACCCTCATTAGGTTACAAAACATTTCACAGTACTTTAGCCATGTTACAATGCCTATTGAATACATGAGTCTTGTTACAACCTCAGTACTTGAGTCATGTTACAATACATAAAGTAATGATAACATGCATCTTGCACTACAACAAAATATGATACAATCCAGGTGCACCCTTGAAAAGTCAGTGGAATCAAACTGGCATTTACCCGTTTTGCTAGAACTTTTATTTGACCATGAACTGGCACACCTGAATTATTGAGAGATGTGAGAAGTTTGTCACTCAACAGACTTTATTTCTGTGTTTAGGAGGAGGAAGAGGAGATCAAACTGGAAATCAATGTGCTCAAAAAAGTAAGTATCTCGTGAAAACAGATCCTCATCTGCCGGATGCAAGACTTCCTTATTCTAAGGCTCCTTTCTGAACCATTCAGGGAAGGTTTATTGTGGGCTTTCACTGGGCTTCAGAATTGGTTTCATTTTCCTAAGATTTCACTTTCCTTGATCTTTGTTACATTTGTGTGACTTCTGACATGTTTTGATTTATACAGACTCAACATATGTTATATTTGGGATTACACTTTCTTAGTGAAGTACAGAGTCTAGTACTTTTGGGGTTGAGTCCCATCCGGGATTCGAACCCACACCCTCAGAGTCAGGCACCTAATCGCCAGCACACAAAGTCAGACGCCTAGACTATTAAGACTTGTCCTTATAAGATAAGAATGCTTTGCAGCTCATTTCAGTTTGATCAGTCTGTGACTTCAGCCACAGTTCTGAAGTCCGGGTCAAGTAAAATTGTGTTTGGTATAAGCAATAAATTCTACAGACCATAATTCTAAGAACTGGCTTCGGATTCTCTCAGAAGGTTTTGACACAGGCTACTGCATCCAAATAGGACATTCAGTTTAAATTTCTCGGGACTCAATGTGCCAGATGTATAGATTACAGTTTAGATCATATATGAAGTGCTACCTCAATGTTCAAAGCCTATATTTCAACTTTAAATGATACATAGTTTCTACATAAGCTCAAGCAACTCATGAATAAGTTGGTAACCTTTTGTATCATATTTACCTGTCACAGTGTACCTTGTAATCTTCTGATTTTCCTGGGCCTTGAGGTAGCATTATGGTTAAAGCATTTGCTCATCAAGCTAAAGACCCTGGTTCAATTCCCATCATGGTTAATATTTGTGAAGCCCATTTCTGATGCCCCTGCTACGATATTGCATAAATAGTGCTACAAGCATCATTAAACTATATTCACCCACTCAATCACTTATTATTCCCCTCAACGCGTTTTGCGGGGGGTATTAAAATGGACTCCGTCCGTGCGTGGTCGTCCGTCCGTCCGTCCGTCCATGCACATTTGTCTTTTCCGGAGCAGAACTCTAAAACCGTTCACTATTTCTTCACCAAACTGGGCACAAAGATAGATCTGGTGGTGTACTGGTGCCTTTTGGTAGTTTTGGAATTCTGAATAAAACATATTTGGCGTTTCCATGGTAACAAGTTCGACTTAGCCTGAAATTAGTGGTAGTGCTCTTTTCCGGAGCAGAACTCTAAAACCGTTCACTATTTCTTCACCAAACTTGGCACATAGATTTATCTGGTGGTGTACTGGTGCCTTTTGGTAGTTTTGGAATTCTGAATAAAATATTTTTGGCATTTCCATGGCAACAAGTTTGACATAGACTGAAATTGGTGATAGTGCTCCTTTCTGGAGCAGAACTTTTCTATATACAAACCTAAATATTTGACATAATCATAACTCGTAGACATAATCATGAAGAGTATTTTGCCATTGCAGGGGATATTGATGACTTTGTCTTCTTGTCTGATTTTGGGTTTGTAAAAGGTAATATTTGTGAAGCCCATTTCTGATGTGTCACTGACCGTGATATTCCTAGAATAGTGCTAAAAGCCATGTTAAACCATACTCACTCACTCACTCGTCTGATTTTAAGTTTGTAATAGGTAATATTTGTGAAACCCATACGTGTCATCATTGTCATTTCAGTGATATTTTGAGTCTGAGAGAGTATGAAACACAAACATATTGGTTCATTAAATATGTCATGTCCTTTTCAGTATTCCCATCACCGGAATATTGCTACATACTATGGTGCTTTTATCAAGAAGGGGCCGCCCGGCAAGGATGACCAGCTGTGGGTAAGTGTGCTGGGCTACTGAGGCAAACAGTAATGACTCCAGGAAGGTAGGGAGGCTTGTAATCTCAAGCCTGTAAGCAGGCCTACCATACAAACGGTAAACAAATCATCAAAACTGAACTCATATACACCAAAACAGAACAAAAATCACCAAAATAGGAAAATAAACTTCCCAAACTGCAACAATATCCTCTAAAACCGAAACAATACATCTGTAATGGAAGACTAATCGTTTGAAGTGGAAACAAAACTCGCGTATCAGCTATGAAAGCGCGCGAGAACGGTCGCCGAGCGTACAAAACGGCAGTCATAGCATCCCAACACAACATGCAAATCGTCAAAGATGGCGGCGAGTGGAGACGAATAGGCTTTGGTACATAATTGTGTTTCGTCACTATGAGTCTAATCTTGAAAATTTGATATCAGGAGGTAGTGCATAAACCCCCTATTGTAGTAAGCTTCAAACCTATACTTCTCAGTGTCAGGCTTGCAATTCTGCACAATGTGGTCCCTCGTTCGACCGAATACTTGGGATTTCTTGTCAACATGCCGTGCTACTGTTTCTCTTCAGTTTTGTAAATAAAGTATTCATAGCGTCACATTCAACATTACTATATTTTAGTGATTTAAAATTTTACAAAAACTTTGTTCATTCTCTGTGAATTGCATATCTAATCCTTGAAATAAAATAGCTGGTAGTGTTTTCATCATACGTTAATGAAGACGGTTTATTTTTTTCAATAAATGAGATTTTTTATTAAGTGACACCTGCTCAGAATTGAAAAAACCAGGGATGACATTGTAGGGCACTGTATGGAAGTCATAACAGCTACCAACACAAGGCTTAGATGCTTTCCCAGGATTTATCCCTTTTTGAATGCAGTGTCACAATATAAGGCATCTGTGTATGAAATACTTGGAACTGCTTGCAACAATAATTTATGAAGCACAATGAAGTTGGCAGTGTTCAACAGCATGTACAGTTTTCTAAAATTAAAAGACAGTATCTAGCATCTAAGAGTAACAAGCTGATATATTAATGCCAATGGATCAACTAGTCTTTGAAAGGTTCTTCTAAATATTTGTCTGTGAACTTTGATGTAAGACCAAAACCAAAGTGAAGTAAACTTTCTTGCAGTCTATTATGATCAGATGATACAAATCCTCATATTATTACAGTCTACTGTAAGCGAAGCCAAATTTTATATTTTGGACAGACCATGTCTTTGGTCTGTCTTCACGGTTATGTTTGTTTGGTGTTTAATGCCGCACTCAGCAATATTCAAGCTGTATGGCAGCGGTCTGTAATTAATCGAGTCTGAACCAGACAATCCTGTTATCCACAGCGTGAGCATGGATCTACGCATCATCACCATTATGATTTGACAAGCGCGCCTGCAGACTTTCTTCTTCTATTTTCAACATTGGGATGATGTGGTAGCTGGTTAAAGCACTTGCTCATCACGCCAAAGATCCGGGTTTGGATTGATCAAATGTGTGAAGCCCAATTCTAGAGTTCTAGATATTGCTGGAATATTGCTAAAAGTAAAACCATACTCACGACTTTTTCACTTCAGTTTTGTATTAGCAAAGTCCTTCATCCTACAGTAAGTGTGATGTTTCTGTTTCAGCTTGTTATGGAATTCTGCGGTGCTGGCTCAGTGACAGATTTAGTCAAAGGTGAGTTGAATGTCACATATTATCACAGTTTATCATGTTTTATTCTATTTAAAAGTGGACCCGTGAAGATCTGGGGTAGAATAGGTCTTCAGCAACCCATGCTTGCCACAAAAGGCGACTATGGTTGTCGTAAGAGGCGACTAACGGGTCGGGTGGTCAACCTCACTGACTTGGTTGACACATGTCATCGGTTCCCAATTGCGCAGATCGATGTTCATGATGTTGATCACTGGACTGTCTGGTCCAGACTCGATTATTTACAGAGTGCGGCATAAAACTAAACTCACTCACTCACTATTTAAAAGTGCAAGCAGCCATTGTTATTAATTAATAAGAGAACCTTCCCTTATGAGATATAATCAATGGCTGCTGGTTAACCAATCCACAATCAGATGACTTTGATCTAAATCACATACATGAGTGATGGTAGATATGGTAGAATATACCATACGTAGCTGTGAGAGACGTAGATGTTATTTATGCCTCAAGACTACTGCTGTATCAAGGAAGACAAGATAAACTGGTGGTTGATAGCATGAGCAGTGATTCATCAACTCAAACTTTATAAGGCATCCATTTGTTATCCCCCCCCCCCCGGACGCCTCGTCCGTCCGTAATCATTTTGTTTCCAGAGCATAACTCGAAAACCGTTCGATATTTTTCAACAAAAATTGGTAGATATATCAAACAGAACCTAAGGTGGTGCCTTTTGCTATTTACAATATTTATATTTTTCTCGGTTTCCATGGAAACGATTTGGACTTAGTTTTAGAAAAAAGTCAAGCTGGACTTAAAGTAACTGTCAGATGATTTGTTTTTCAAATATGTGGGGCCAGGGGGATATCATCTTTTGATGACTCTTGTTCTAATAATCATCCAATTAGTAAGTTAGGTAACCTAAATGACAAGCATTCATTCATTCATTCATTCATTCATTCTTGGCCTATTTGAATGTAGAATAATAATAATGTAGAATATTTATAGTGCACATTTCCTGGCTTCATATCCTGCTCAAAGCGCGCACAAATATGATCTTATTATTGTTACCCCTGATAACCCAAGCTGCCTGTGAGGTGCTAGAAGGTTAATAGTCACGTCTTATCCCGCCGGGTACCCATTTTCAGCAAGGTGAACAGAGGCAATTTTGAGCAATCTCACATGTATCGCATGTGCTTCGTTGTGGGGCAGGACTGAGGTCCTAGAAACTCTCAGGAGTCAAGTTGACAAACATGGTCACTCTATCAAGGGAGTCTCTTTGCACCCAACATTTTACAGACATAATATTATCTTAGTACTAAGGTGATTGTATCTCCTAAACTGTGACAAAAGCTTGTTAATTTTAGTTTAGATAGTTTTAGTAGTCACTGCTCCAAGTTTCCACACTTGCAGTAATAGCGTAAATCCCTTCCTGTCATGGAATAATTAGGGGTGGGTATTGCAGAGAATTTTCATATTGCGATATATTGCGATGCGGAAGCATCTATTGCGATATGTATTGATATATATTGCAAGGATTATTTTTTAAACAAAAACTACTTATAATCGAGTAAATGCTTGATTATAAAACAAAAACACAACAAAATCACTATGATTGATTAACCTTTTATAAAAACCTTTAATAATGACAAAATGATAATGTAAGTAACATTTGGCACTAATGAAACAGTGAAAAGAACAATTCAAAAAACGGAAATATCCGAAGATTTCCGAGTGTTACAAAGTTTTTCGATCAGTTTTTGGGTTTTCGATCAGCGTATCGCAATACGTATCGTTTTCATGTCTGAACCGGTAAATACCGGTAAACCGGTTATATTGCGCAGCCCTAGGAATAATAAAGATAATTGTGACAGCTCTAATAGTAATCAAGCATAAGGAATATGATCATCATTATTTCTAATAGCCCTTGAGACATCAAATTAAGAAGGTATGGAAGATGTGTTTGTTAAATGAAGATGTATGTCCCTTGCTCCAGCAAGTAGTTACGCAATTAGCTGGAGGAAGGAAACCGCAATCTCATCCTGACACTGGTAAGATAATCCACATGTTACCTAACGCCCCCATCACCAAGTGAGATGGATCCAACCTGTGCCTATCTCCCCAGCAACACAGAAACATACAAATACCAGTTACATTATTATACAGGAATCGGTTTAATGTCATCACATTTTACACTTGACTGTATTGTTTTGTTTTGTGATATTAAATTACATGGACCTTAGAGAAAAATATCCTTTTTGCCTGAAGGAAAAATGTTTTGGCTGAGAGGAAAGGTGGTTTCTTCATTTTGTCAGTCTGTTAATATCAGTGCTTGTATTTAAAAATAACAAAATACATATCAGATGTGCCAGTGATGTTATTTACTTGAAAACAGAAGGAGACAACATATTTTCTTGAACTGATGGAGGGTTGTCCGTGGTGGATGTCTGTGGAGACTTGAATGTGTATGTGAGTGTGGCTTGGGTTAGGGATGTTTGTGAGGCAAACACAGCTGTAGGGGGCTAATGGTGGTCAGATGACTGGTGTGAGACCACGACACACGTGTGACTGGAGACGACTGACGATGTGCAGTGTGACTTCGGATGACTTGTCTGTCTGAATGACTCCACCGACCCACAGACAGGATGCTTGATCAGGAAGTCCTGTATCCATGAACCTGGCGGTCAGGAATGTAAACATGTAGCGCCTGTATTGGACATCGATGATGTGACAGTAGACTAACTCTCAATGTATATGATATGATTTTGATAGAGACAGATAAGTCGATTTAAATTGAAAAGTTGCTTGGAGATTTAGAACCTGAAACTTAGGAAATCTAGACTAGCTTCATTTAAGGCTTTTGAATTGAAGAAAAGGTTGGGTGGAAGGGAAAATATTGTGGTTCAGGGACTAAGACAGATTAGAGTACACAATGCCATGTAGAAAGTGGTCAAATGTGCCTGGGGATGAATTCCAGATATGACTGAACCAAACAAATTACGAAAATCTGTACTTCACTGAGACAATGTAATCCCATATATCACATATCTTACATGAGACAGATTAGGTATGACATCTACACAAAAGGATATTACAAATACATATTAATTGATTCAAAAGCATGCTTTGTCAGCAAGAATGTTTAAAATTGTTTTCCAAGAAAATGTCCAATATTTCACTGCTAGTTCATCTTGTGTTTATCATTGGTCTACGTATAGAAATGGGTGCTCTGTTGTCATGTTACAGATAGCTCCTTGTACATGTATGATTGTATCTTAACATGAAGCTGAGATGTGTTTCATTGCTATGAAATACTGAGGAGATAATGTACACAAGAAATAAGCAGCAGGCAATCCCACCTTGACACTAATATCCTAGTCAGTGGTTGAGTAGTATATTTATGTGCAAGCTTATAATCCATGTTATGATTCAACAGGTTAACTAATACGAATCCGTCCATGCACCAATTCACACTTAATCATCAACCAACACAATTGCCAGCCAGGATTACAGACATAGCTCAATAATTGCAAATGTTTGATAAATAACAGGTGAATAATATTAACCAACTTGGCTGTAAGTCCTCCAAGCCAGCACTGATCTGACTTGATCCTATTAGAAGTGAAATCAGTGACTCACCTTGTTTCTTACCAACGTTACACATATCAGTGGGTCTGCTGCAGCAGAGTATTAGGGAAAGTGAAAACAGAACTTTCTTTAGTGAACTTCTCAGTCATTCTTTGTTTAACAGGGGCGGTGGGGTAGCCTAGTGGTTAAAGCGTTGTCTCGTCACGCCGAAGACCCGGGTTCGAATCCCCACATGGGTACAATGTGTAAAGCCCATTTCTGGTGTCCCCAGCCGTGATGTTGCTGGAATATTGCTAAAAGTGGCGTAAAACAAAACTCAGTCAGTCAGTCTTTGTTTAACAGAATGAGTACCTAGACTTTTAGGCGAATAAGGCAGCAAAAGATTTTGATCAGCAGATTTGATTTATTAGAAAAACAATACAAACAAATTGGTTAGATTTTAATTTGCTTGACCATCAAGCTGGATCAGAAAAAATTAAAAGATGCAAATGAAACATTTATGTACAATAGTAGTTGCTGTTGTTGACTTGCTGCATTTATGAAGCCTAAACTGTTGCCAACCAGTGACGAAAGCCTCTAAAGTATATAATATATACCAGTATCTATGGTATTGTACAAAATGCGAAGCCCATTTCTGGTGTACCCCACCGTGATATTGCTGGAATATTGCTAAAAGCAGCGTAAAACCCAACTCACTCACTATGGTATTGTATAATTTATGCATGTTAAAGCACTTTCAGAAGTGTTAGCATTTACTTTTTCATACAAATCAAACAACACCAAGCAACTAAATACAAAATGCAATTAACAAATATTGATATTTTTTTTTTAACAAATAAAGAGGATTGGTTTTGAAAAGTGTGTAAACCGTGAAAGCAGACCATACTGGCCTACGACTGCTGGCCTGCTGTTGATATCTCCACTTAGTGATGTGACACACCAAATAAGGTGCAGTATGTCAAGTGTGTAGGTGAGGGTTCTTGATGTGGGAAAAAATATCATTGCAAATATGTCAGAGGTTTGTTGATGACGCGCCTGCACGTTGAGATATGTGCTTGCTGAAATTAACGAGTTCATTATCACGAACGTGTGAAAAGTTAAAAATGGTCATTTGAGACTTCATAGATTTCTTGTAATTTTTTAAACATCATGTGTCTCCATTGATTTGGGCATTTTGCCAGGTTAGATAAATGGTCTTATGTGTGCCTTTGGGTAAGATGTAGCGTACTGTTATTTTTTAATGTTTGAACTTTGTGTTCAAGTTGTACTCTATTAACATATGCAGTGTTGTGACAGTGTTGAGAAATGCCTTTCACCTTTTTCGATACTGTTGTATAGATCTATAACATTTAATTTCCTGTTTCAAGCTCAGTATCTGATCTGTGTAAGCAGATTACCATATGTCACTACTGGTATCAATAAGTCCTCTACATAGGTGCACGTAAGAGGCAGCATGGATTTGGTGGCCTGACCTATATCTCATGACTCCATGTCAACCACTAGTTTGTATGACAGTGGTGTGTCATCATACCTGTATGTCATGTTTCGCCATGTCAACCACTAGTTTGTATGACAGGTGTGTCATCAAACCTGTATTTCATGTTGCCATGTCAACCACTAGTTTGTATGACAGTGTTGTGTCATCATACCTGTATGTCATGACTCACCATGTCAACCACTAGTTCGTATGACAGTGGTGTGTCATCATACCTGTATGTCATGACTCACCATGTCAACCACTAGTTCGTATGACAGTGGTGTGTCATCATACCTGTATGTCATGACTCATTATGTCAACCACTAGTTTGTATGACAGTGATGTGTCATCATACCTGTATGTTATGTGTCACCATGTCAACCACTAGTTTGTGTGACAGTGTTGTGTCATCATACCTGTATGTCATGTGTCGCCATGTCAACCACTAGTTTGTGTGACAGTGGTGTGTCATCATACCTGTATGTCATCATTCACCATGTCAACCACTAGTTTGTATGACAGTGGTGTGTCATCATACCTGTATGTTATGTGTCGCCATGTCAACCACTAGTTTGTATGACAGTGATGTGTCATCATACCTGTATGTCATGTGTCGCCATTTTAACCACTAGTTTGTATGACAGTGATGTGTCATCATACCTGTATGTCATGTGTCGCCATGTCAACCACTAGTTTGTGTGACAGTGTTGTGTCATCATACCTGTATGTCATGTGTCGCCATGTCAACCACTAGTTTGTATGACAGTGGTGTGTCATCATACCTGTATGTCATGTGTCGCCATGTCAACCACTAGTTTGTATGACAGTGATGTGTCATCATACCTGTATGTCATGTGTCGCCATGTCAACCACTAGTTTGTGTGACAGTGGTGTGTCATCATACCTGTATGTCATCATTCACCATGTCAACCACTAGTTTGTATGACAGTGGTGTGTCATCATACCTGTATGTTATGTTTATTAATAGCATGTCAACCACTAGTTTGTGTGACAGTGGTGTGTCATCATACCTGTATGTTATGTGTATTATGTAATGCATGTCAACCACTAGTTTGTATGACAGTGATGTGTCATCATACCTGTATGTCATGTAATAGCCATTTTAACCACTAGTTTGTATGACAGTGATGTGTCATCATACCTGTATGTCATGTGTCGCCATGTCAACCACTAGTTTGTGTGACAGTGTTGTGTCATCATACCTGTATGTCATGTGTCGCCATGTCAACCACTAGTTTGTATGACAGTGGTGTGTCATCATACCTGTATGTCATGTGTCGCCATTTTAACCACTAGTTTGTGTGACAGTGTTGTGTCATCATACCTGTATGTCATGTGTCGCCATGTCAACCACTAGTTTGTATGACAGTGTTGTGTCATCATACCTGTATGTTATGTGTCGCCATGTCAACCACTAGTTTGTATGACAGTGATGTGTCATCATACCTGTATGTTATGTGTCACCATGTCAACCACTAGTTCGTATGACAGTGATGTGTCATCATACCTGTATGTCATGACTCACCATGTCAACCACTAGTTTGTATGACAGTGTTGTGTCATCATACCTGTATGTTATGTGTCACCATGTCAACCACTAGTTTGTATGACAGTGATGTGTCATCATACCTGTATGTCATGTTGCCATGTCAACCACTAGTTTGTATGACAGTGTTGTGTCATCATACCTGTATGTTATGTGTCGCCATTTCAACCACTAGTTTGTATGACAGTGATGTGTCATCATACCTGTATGTCATGACTCACCATGTCAACCACTAGTTTGTATGACAGTGTTGTGTCATCATACCTGTATGTTATGTGTCGCCATGTCAACCACTAGTTTGTATGACAGGTGTGTCATCATACCTGTATGTCATGTCTCCCCATGTCAACCACTAGTTTGTATGACAGTGGTGTGTCATCCTACCTGTATGTCATGTTGCCATGTCAACCACTAGTTTGTATGACAGGTGTGTCATCATACCTGTATGTCATGACTCATCATGTCAACCACTAGTTTGTATGACAGTGTTGTGTCATCATACCTGTATGTCATGTGTCACCATGTCAACCACTAGTTTGTGTGACAGTGGTGTGTCATCATACCTGTATGTTATGTGTCGCCATGTCAACCACTAGTTTGTATGACAGGTGTGTCATCATACCTGTATGTCATGACTCACCATGTCAACCACTAGTTTGTGTAACAGTGATGTGTCATCATACCTGTATGTCATGTTGCCATGTCAACCACTAGTTTGTGTGACAGTGGTGTGTCATCCTACCTGTATGTCATGTTGCCATGTCAACCACTAGTTTGTATGACAGTGGTGTGTCATCATACCTGTATGTCATCATTCACCATGTCAACCACTAGTTTGTATGACAGTGATGTGTCATCATACCTGTATGTCATGACTCACAATGTCAACCATGACTGTCATATGTCATCATACCCCAGTGACAGAACTCAACATGTCTCAAAATGGTTTCTATGGTCCATGAACCATTTTTCACACTTCATGGTGATATAATTGCATGCTGAAGCATAAAGGAACAAACACATTGTTTGAAGACATGCACAGCTGGAACCAGTTTTCTGGGAGTCAGCTTCGTTATGGCGCACGATTATTCTTATAGACAAAGGTATAATCAACTCATCAGTGTGAACATTCAAAACATGTACTAAATTATGTTTTTAAGGTTTTCATGTATTTATCATGCCACACTAAAACAGTATAACTTTAGTTTCCCCACCAGCCCAGGTATCTGTGCAGCAGTGTGTTTTGTCATCGTTCTGGCCAATATTCAAGCTGACAGATACAAATACGGAGCTGGGCTCCAAGTTTCCATTTATGGATTCTAAGTAATCAATGTGAATTGTCCACATGTTTCTCAGAAACCTTCTAATTCTTCAGATTTGGCAGGTAGGGGATAATACCTGCTTATTCTACACAGATGAAATAGGAGTCATTGTTCACCAACACCCACAGCAGTTTGTTAAAGTCCACAGTTTGCTTGCAAATTCTTCTTGATGTTTTGAATCAAATTTTGATCATGCTTTTCTCTCATCTTGTTCCAGCAACAAAGGGCAACTGTCTGAAGGAAGAATGGATTGCCTATATTGCCAGGGAGATCCTGCGGGTGGGTAGCATGTCAGTCTGAATGAATGATCAAATACACGAAGTGAAACTGGTCCATTACACTAACCGAAAAATATGTTGTGATCAATACTTCAGCAGGAGGATAAATATTTATCATGAAACGTTCAAGATGATTTTTTTTTAGAGTTTTTTTTATGTAAATAAACATGAATTCAGTGTTTCATTGCTGTGTCTATATTTATACTATTAGCGTCCTTCAAATACATGTGTAAGTTTGTGAAGAGGATTCTTGAGTCATTGGTTGTACGAATCTTTAACTGACTTGAGGGTTAACATTGTTTTAGTGAAGATGAAAATAAACAAATATGAAAGAACTTTTGGAGGTATTATATCGTTATAAAATGACCGCTTCCGTGGTGTAGTGGTTAGAGCGTCCGCTCGGAGAGCGGAAGGTCGCTGGTTCAATCCCCGACCGCGTCATACCAAAAGACGTTAAAATATGGTACTTGTTGGTCCCTGCCTGGTGCTCGGCATTAATGGGTACAACAAGGACTGGTCGGCTCGGAGTCAGTATACTGTTTTGAGTGGGGTATTCAAGCTTCACTGTGTCGTGGTATCTCAGTGGGCTAGCACTATAAAACCAGCTTAAGTCTGGGCTAGTACAAGCAGATACACATACACATGCATGCACGTCGTCATATGAGCGAAATATTCTCAAGTACGACGTTAAACCCAATTTCACCTCTACTCACCTCGTTATAAAATGTTTTATGAAATATTTATTAAGGATCCACTGTATGTTGAACATTATAGAAATAAACATTTCAATGAGTAATAACATTATTAGGTAACCATTTGTGGTAAAGTTTGGAATATTGATGTTTAATTATAAATACATTGTGACACTGTTAAAATGATGTAGATCATTTCTTTTCTTTCACCTGTATTATTTACTTTATGATTGTGACATGGATGTAGATGTAGATAACATTATCGTTTATTTAATACCACACTGAGCAGTATTTCAGTTATATGACGGCAGTCAAATAATCAAGTCTGGACCAAACAATCCAGTGATTTACATCATGAGGATCTATCCAGAGATGCCAACCCTTACGCTTTAGGCATAATTATTACGATTTTGACCATTAAATTACACCATTACACTTAATCTGCGAAAATTACGCTTTACTACTCGTTTTACGAAAATCAATAGAGTGGATAAATTTTCACAGGGAAGTGTTTCGTAACGCACAGGTGCAGGGGTGCACAAATGGCCTTGCACCGATAGGAATCGCTTACTCTTAGCATCTCACTCATTCTAATTAACTTGCCAGGAATTAACGTATTTTGAGTCATATGACCAACAATTTTCGATGTATGGAGCTTCATAATGATTGGTCACATGTGTTTCTGCCTAGAATCTTCCTTTCGTGAAACCCTGTGCTACGTTGAAGCGATCGGCAGACAAATATTACACTTTTTAGGTCCAAATTACACTTTCTGACCTCTAGTATTACACTTAGGCCCAAAATAGGGTTGGCATCTCTGTCTATCTACGAAAGTGGGATGCAATGATCCAAGTCAGCAAGCCTGACCACCTGGGCCTCCTTTCACAAAGCACTAAGGTGATCGTAAGTCACTAAGGTAACCTTAGTGCAATGTTAAAGAATGGGCGTTAAGGTTAACCTTAGTAAAGGTTGCTTCGTGAAAGGAGCCCCTGATCCTGTCAGTCACCAACATGGGCTTATGAAGGCCGATTCTGACCTGAAATGTGGATGACTGAAGTATGGTGACTGACCCATGTATATGACCATGCTATATTCATGTTCCAGGGCCTAGCCCACCTACATCAAAACCGAGTCATCCACAGGGATATCAAAGGCCAAAATGTTTTATTAACAGACAACGCAGAAGTCAAATTAGGTGAGTACAGAGTGCAATTCAGAGTTTCAGGTGCATCATGTGACTCTGATAATTATTGAGTGCATACACCATGAACAGGATGTAAAGCTAACCAGAGAGGGTTTTTGTCAACATTAAAAAAGACAGAAGGATTAGATAAACTTATCATTCGAAATCACTCATTTGCATTTTGTTAACAGTAATTACCAATATGTTGAACTGATATAGTACAGCTAACCAGCCTTTGTGGGTGAGATATTAGTGATAACTGATTATGTCAAATTGGTGTACCATATATTGTGATGTACCTTGATTGCAGCAATATCTCCAGTGGTTGTTTTCATTTTTGCCGGTATTTACTGGTTCAGACATGAAAGCGATACGCATGGCGATACACTGATCGAAAACCGGTATTTTGACATGCATTCGGAAAACTTCGTAACACTCGGAAATCTTCGGATATTTCCGTTTTTTAAGTTGTTCCTTTCCTTTTTTCTAATTTGTGCCAAATATTATTTACATTTGTTTTTTTGTCATGATTAAAAGTTTTTATTAAATCTTAATCAAGCATAGTGATTTTGTTGTGTTTTTGCTTTATAAATCAAGCATTAACTCGATTATACGTAGTTTGTTGTTGAAAAAAACCTGCTTGCAATATATTGCAATACATATCGCAATATAAGCTTTTGCATCGCAATATATCGCAATATGCAAATTCTCTGCAATATACCCACCCCTAATAATAACAGGAATTCAGCAGAGGCCCCGTAAAATACGTTTTCAGTGTCAAATGCATTCAGTAAGCATGGTCATAAGAGGTTTGTTTGTTGTTTTATGTCGCACTCAGCACTATACGGCGGTGGTCTGTATATAATCAAGTCCCGACCAGAAATCCAGTGATCAACAGCATGAGCATCAATCTAAGTATTCTGTAAGATGGATTACATCTTATAGAATCAGCTAGGGCTGGGACAAGGAGCTGAAATAGGGGGAAAATGAACTGCCATGGCTCTTTGTCATTGCCTGACTCTGACTTGAGTATTTGGTTGTTTCTGATGTCATAGAAATTGATTGTTTACCTTATTTATTGACTCCATTTTGCTTTTATCCAAGAATTTTTTTTAAATAGCTTCTTGGAGATTTATGCATTTTAAGAAATTGCACAGTTGCAAACTCTAACTAGTACATAAAACCCTCAAGAAACAGTTTGTGCAAGTGAATTTGTATACTTAATAAAGAGAATTCAATTGTCTTTCTTATAGTGAATGCAATTTCATTGGCCTACTGCAGCCACAGTCCACTGGTAACAGTTTTAAGTGGTTGTCAACCTGTATCATGTAGAGAGTTATCTCTCTTGCTATGGTACTCGAGTCTTGTAAAGAGGAGTGAGTTTAGTTTTACGCCGCAATCAGCAATATTCCAGCTATATGGCGGCGGTCTGTAAATAATCGAGTCTGGACCAGACAATCCAGTGATCAACAGCATGAGCATCGATCTGCGCAATGGGGAACCGATGACATGTGTCAACCAAGTCATCGAGCCTGACCACCCGATCCCGTTAGTCGCCTCTTGCGACAAGCATGGGTTACTGAAGGTTCATTCTAACCCGGGACCTTCACTGGTCTTGTAAACAGGATGAGTCTCTCCCGATCCAACCCAATATTAACTAACGGAATCCCTGTCATCGCCCCAGATGCAACAATGCTCATGAAACTTAACAAGGCAGTTTCATTACAGATATATATCTCCACTTTGGGATGTCCTGTTCAGCAACATGTGTAAATGTCCACTTTGGGAAAGCTTGTCATGTAACCCCCTCTAACATCATTCACTCCTATATGGACTAGTTGCTGCATAGGACTGACTGGTCCTGATACCTGTCAAACATAACATTATTGGCAGTTGTTTTGTGGTACTAATGTTATTTGTTGTATCTATTCCAGTTGACTTTGGTGTTAGTGCTCAGCTAGACAAGACAATAGGGAGGAGAAATACATTCATAGGAACTCCTTACTGGTGAGTTGAGCTCTCGTCACATGGACCAACACATTGTCCTTCTCATGGAGTGCTGTACTTTTATAGACTGGTGTTTTTGTGTGATTTAGTTTAAAATATGTAAGTTTTCTGTTATTTGGGAACATATCAAAAAAGCTTGTAAAACCTCCATGCAAAAACATTAACTGCATGTAGAAATGTGTTCATTACACAAACATTGACTGCATGTAGAAATGTGTTCATTACACAAATAATGACTGCTTTTAAGAATTATTACCGCATCGAAAATGAAACATGTTCTCTAGTTGACAGGACATTTTCACCAAGATACAAATGGTTGGGGGCATGAACTGTTTTACAAGTACAAGTTTAAAGTATTCCCTCCATCAGGAACTTTGAGTATCAAGTTGGCACTAGACTCAGACAGAACACATTCTGGCTTAGCATAGGGATCCAGGAAGTTTCTTTATATCTTTATTTCTTTTAATAGACCGCCTCCGTGGTGTAGTGGTTAGAGCGTCCGCCAAGAGAGCGGAAGGTCACGGGATCGATCCCTGACCGCGTCATACCAAAAGACGTTAAAATATGGTACTTGTTGGTCCCTGCCTGGCGCTCGACATGAATGGGTACAAGGACTGGTCAGCTCGGAGTCAGTATACTGTGTCTGAGTGGGGTATTCATGCTTCACTGCGGCATGGTATCTCAGTGAGCTAGCACTATAAAACCAGCATCAGTCTGGGCTAGTACAAGCAGCCGCACATACACATACACATGCATGCACGCCGTCATATGAGCGAAATATTCTCAAGCACGATGTTAAACCCAATTTCACCTCACCTATTTCTTTTAGTTCACTCAAGAATGACGTTTAGTGTGTTTACTTCATTCTTATTTCATTCTTTAAGATTCACATTGTTTAGTTTAAAATCCATGTACTGATATGTTTACTGTATGTTTCAGGATGGCGTCAGAAGTTATAGCTTGTGATGAAAATCCAGATGCTACCTATGACAATAGGGTATGTATATTTGTACATGTTGGATGTACAGCGGGTGGCCATATTATTACGTACAAACATGGTAGACCGATTGTTGACAACAAATTTACGAGGGAGTTCAAAGTGTCATAACTCGTTAAATATAAACAGTCTTACCTCAATATTTTGTGATGTGTCCCTTGTTCCTGATTATTTTCAATATCCGCCTTGGAATCAATGAAATCGTGGGGAATATTTTCCCAGATGTCCCGCACTTCACGTCCCGCACTTCGACTGAATGTTGCTTTGGCGTCTCTGAAGTCTATTCTTCAGGTAGAGCCAACAGTTCTCAATAATATTTGCGTCTGGACTCAGTGCAGGCCACAACATTCCAGTAATGTCATTTTGTCACTTGTAATCTTGAACAACACGGGCCCGATGTACAGGGGCATTGTCATCTTGGAAGATGTACCTGTTTCCTGGAAAAGGTATGGCTATAACGGGCCAAAGCATATCATCGAGGATTTCTGTGTATTTCTGAGCATTTATGTTGCCATTAACAACACAAATGGTACCAACACCATGCCAGGTGATACAACCCCACACCATCAAACGGACGCATGGCTGTCGTCCTGGACAAAGACATTGCGGGAGGTATTCTTCACCGGGCTGTCTCCAAACAAAAACACGATTGTTTTCCCCAATGATAATTTTACAATCGTCAGAGGAGATTACTTGATTTCAGTAATTATTCGCTGTACGATATCGTTGCCCCCTTGCCCAGTCCAAATGATTTCTGACATTATAGTCATGAATTCGGATTTTCTTTCTGACAACAAGTTTATGAAATATATTTTCATATAATCGTCTCCCTACAGTCCTCACCGATACACGTGTAGCCCTACTGTTCAAATTCTCAGTTATTTCATCCAGAGGTGAAATCCTATTGTCTCTGACCAACCTCAAAAGTTGTTGATTGTCCCGACGAGTCAGTGTTCTCATACAGCCTGTTCTGAGAGCATTCTTGGCTGATCCACGTCGATTAAACCACTTTACCACTGAATATATGCTGCTTCGAGGCATTCCAAACAATCTTGCAATGTTGGAACATTTTTCGCCACTTTGAAACTTTATTAAAATTAATTTCTAAAGTGGCTCCGACAAATCAGCCGATTTCCCGGATTGTTGCCGGAAATAGCCACAATATGTTCCAGACGACAAATTGATTAAAAATAGAGTCACATGACAGACACGTGACCTCATGGTCGATCACTTGACAAAATATTACGACGATGTGTGGTGTCGTTTTTTAGTAGCAATCTTTTAAAAACACGATATCAACGCCGTTACAATTGTCCGTTATGATATGGCCACACGCTGTATGTGAGTGAAAGTGCCTGTGTGCTTGGATGGTTGTCAGATGTTTTTTGGAACCCGTTCCATGGAGCGATCTTAGCATTTAGGTGATCCTAAGTTCCCTACTTTAACATAGGCTTGAGAGAGTCTAGCCCTCTGATTGCTTTGTTGAACAGGGTCCTGATATGGGAAGTTAATTTTCCACCTTTTTTGCAGGCGTTTGTATTATATGTGTAAATAGGTTCGAGACTAGAGCGAGAAGTGATATTGTTTTGGTGTAAGTGTAAGCGTGGGAAACCATGGGGAGATCAGAAGATTAAAGGAGGGACTTTTAACCACAGAATTGTGTTATCTATCAATGGTAGCATTCTCGGATTCTGTTTTCTGATCAATATAAGAATGTTCTTCTCACAAAACACAGACTGTTCAGTTGAGATGACAGTTAAGTCAATCATAGCTGTATAAGCAACTAAAGAGTCATCAACAGAAGGCATCATATTTTCACCTTATCTATATGTTGGAATTGGAGTATGTGTTGTGTTCTGACTGGCTGAAAAACAGGATTAAATCAGATGTGAACCCCATAAATCTCTTGATAATTATCCCCCGCAACAACGAAGTTGCAGGGGATATAGAAACGAGTTCCGTCCGTGGGTCCGTCACACTTTGTCCGAAGCACATCTCCTAAACTATTGGTATTAACTTAACCAAACTTGGTACACAGCCATGATCCCTAGATGTGCCTTTTGGGGGTTAGACCCAGATGCGAATTTTATTTTTTGTGGTTTCCATGGAAACATGACTTAGCGGTGACCATGAGGATGTCATCTTGTCCGGAGCAGATCTTCCAAACTATACATGCTAGCTTCATCAAACTTGGTACATATGTCAAGCATGATCCCTAGATGTGCCTTTTGGGGGTTAGACCCAGATATGAATTTAATTTTGTGTGGTTTCCATGGAAACGTGACTTAGGCTGTGACTGTGAGGATGTCATCTTGTTGCATTTCCATGGCAACAAGTTAGGCTTCAACTGAATTTGGTGGTAGTGCACCTCTCTGGAGCAGATCTTAAAAACCTTTCTATACTCTCCTTCCACTTTGCTGTATACACTCCAAAACATTTGACATAATCATAACTAGTAGACATATTCATAAAGAGTATTTTGCCGTTGCGGGGGGATATTGATGACTTTGTCTTCTTGTTGTTTTTGTCTCATTCTTCATATTAAGAACATGCCAAACAGGTTGGCGAAATGGACACTGCGTTGATTGAATATAAAGTTTGAACAATGTTTGTCAGAATAACTTCAATTTGAAGTGTTTCTTCCACTTTCTGGTAAGAAAGTGAGTTCAGTTACCAATGGAAATCATAGTATCAGTGTGTTATGGATGTTTGCTGACTGAACATGGTAACATTGTATTCCAGAGTGATCTGTGGTCTTTAGGCATCACAGCAATAGAAATGGCTGAAGGAAAGCCACGTAAGTATTGTGCATGGAAGTAGTTTCCCCTTCTTAAACTTGCTCTGGTAACATTGAGTGATATTTGAGCATCAATTTAACGTAATTTAGCATAAAGTAAATTCTCTTTATATACTTCCCTAACTACGTTCATTTCTAATAAAACTATCTTATCTTAAATGTTGATTAGTTTTATAAAGAAGGAATGATTTTAATTTCTTTTTACTAAATACAGTCAAATCCCGATGAGTCGAATCGCTGGGGACCAAGTAATAAATTCGACTTATCGATGTATTCGAGACATAGGTATGTCTATGAGGGTAGAAAAAAAGATGATCCAGTCCTAATTCCTCTGCCTAAGCATTTGTTTATCTAATGATTTCCATCTCACTAATAGAACACCTTATCAGTTCCAGTCTGATTAGCACAGACAGTAATTTCCGTAAAATCACTAATCTGCCTTTTGAACTCACCCGTCAATGGCGGAAAGGTGTGAGCCGCGCTGGTTTGTTAATTGGATCAGTTTGCTACACCAATCAACTTCTCATTGACTGACTTCGGTTTATGTATACAAGATTGCTGTTGTTTGAATCTCATGGGACCAAATTTCCTTCTCGAGTCATCGTGTGTATTTATGAGACGAATTCGTGTAACCGGAAATCAAATGATGACAACTATAACAGGGAATGGTCGGGACCAACAGGTACTTCGAGTTATGCATAATGTTCGAGACACCGGCATTCGACTCATCGGGATTTGACTGTATTCACGAAGAATATAAATAGATGGAATATGAAATTATTGATTGGTATATTAACTTGTGTTTGTTGTTGTTTGTATGTCATATTGTACAAAATGCACTGCAATTCTTATGAAGCTATTAACGAGTGATTTTAATGTTTCCAGCACTCTGTGATATGCATCCTATGAGAGCGCTGTTTCTTATACCCAGAAATCCACCGCCTAGGCTCAAAAACCCAACAAAATGGTGAGCAGTCATTGTCTTCATTAGTGTTGTACTGATGCAGTATTTCATAAAAATACGACCATGGGGACCAGGGTAGAATTTGTCCCCAGAACCCCTTTGCTGTGAAAACACAATGCCATTCAGAAGGATTCAAATGTAACATTATATGTGGGATTACATTTTCTCAGTAAAGTTTAGATTCTAGTACTTTTGAGGGTTGTGCCAATTTACACTTGTCAAAGGGTCAGTGTACCACAATGGCTTCAAGCATTGTTCATATCAATCTCTGTATTGTGTGGTACACATTTGATTGTGTACATTACCCTAGCATCACATTGGAATATTGCAGGGTTGGAACAACACATACAGGGACAGACATTGGTGTAGTTGAAGAATACTTTGGAATGCAAAACATGTTGACGTTGACACATGACAAATCCTTAGCCTCCAGCTGCTAGATGGATGTTTTCTCCATTCACAGCACAAAAATATCCTTGCTTTTAAATATTTGAAGCATTGTTGAGAAAATGAGAGTTTCTAAGGATTATCCCACATTTTTCACAGCATAAATTTCCTTGATGGAAACTCTCAATGGATCGTTATGTACGATTCTTTTTCTGAAAGTTTAACTGAATCTGTCCTGGACTTTTCTCAGGTCCAGCAAATTCCACAACTTTGTTGAATCATGCTTGATCAAGGACTACACCCAGCGACCTAACACGGAACAGCTTCTGAAGCATCCCTTCATCCGTGATCAGCCGACTGAGAGGCAGGTCCGCATACAGCTCAAGGATCACATAGACAGGCATAAAAAGAACAAGAAAGGTAAGTGGGCTGATACCCATCCTGACTTGGGTGATAAGTGTTAATGGTGCCCAGTGGGTGTTGGTGGACAGTGGATCAAATGTCAAAGGACAAGAAAGGGATGGGCTAAAATTATCTTATTGATCTGTGGACTTAATATGACACCACTGTCTCAGTTTATGAGACAAATACACAAAGTATACTTTATACTTGGAAATATAACAATGGCTGGCACAAAAATGAATTCAAATGAAATGGTAAATAGTCTCATCTAGTTCAATCTTCAATTGCAAATTTCATGTCTTCATTGATGAAGTCACTTTCTGTTGTTTGTTCTCCTGAAGTGATGTAGGTTTTTAAATAGTTTAATGAAAGTGTAACCTTTACCTCTTTATACAGAATCTGTTTTCTGGTCCTTCAAATTTGGCTTCTCTATATGATGCCTTCATGGCACTACAAAACAATTACGTATCATTTATCCAAAATATGTTGTGCATGTTACTTGTCTTAGTCATTCTTTCTATGAACTATTGGGGCGTTGGGGTAGCCTAGTTGTTAAAGCGTTCACTCGTCACGCCGAAGACCCGGGTTCGAATCCCCACATGGGTACATTGTGTGAAGCTCATTTCTGGTGTCCCCCGCCGTGATGTTGCTGGAATATTGCTAAAAGCGGCGTAAAACTAAACTCACTCACTCACTCTATGAACTATTGGACAGTGGTAAACGTAACATTATCTAAAATCCATACAATTGGACTATGACAAATTGGTTTTCAGATGGAAATATATGTGTTTCAGATGACATGTTTTGGTCCTGTGTTTTGAGGTAATGTTTGGGCAAGGTGTTGTACATGTGATCTTGATATCTTCAGGTGATGACCACGACACAGAGTATGAGTATGAAGGTAGTGACAATGATGAAGATGAGGACAACACGATGCCTGGAGAGCCAAGGTAGGCTGTGTACAGTTGTTCATATCATGGCACTCAAGGCTGACAGAGTTACTTCCCCTTATTCAACAGACTATTATCTCTAGTAATAGTTCTGTGGGCACGTTGGGGTTTATGAGTAATGGAATACAAAGTACATGCACATCAGCTTTCTAGGACAAGTTATATGCCAGAAAGGTAGGATACTTAATGGATTCTTATGCTGTTATCTTGCTTGACAATGGCTTGAGAACTATACTAAAACATGTCATCAAAATCTAATAAGAAACTTGTCATCCACAAAATAGCCTTTCTAATTATTCATCAATATCAACAGAACTTTATCGTAAGATTCCCCATACAATGTTAGTTGTTCATTTTTATGTATTTGATATGCAAGGTGTAAGAAAGTTCCCCAGTCTTGGTAGGTGTCTTTGTCCAAGATTATTTTAAGAATTAGCATGGCAACCATATGGCCTGAATATGCTGCTCCACTCTCTGTGGAGATACCATTTGCAGTGTGTAAATGATGCAATCCCATCATTGTCAAAAACAGGGTGCAAGTGTAGAACATGCAATGAGTTATCACTTTTGTTCCTATTGGTTTTATAAGACCTGTTGGGTTAATTCTTATGGTGTACATGTAAGTATTTGCCATGTTAATGAAGACATGATACGGTGCTGATGAATTGCGTCAAAGCTACCCCTTGTCAGTTGGACCGCCTCCGTGGTGTAGTGGTTAGAACGTCTGCCCGGAGAGCGGAAGGTCACGGGTTCGATCCCCGACCGGGTCATACCAAAAGACGTTAAAATATGGTACTTGTTGGTCCCTGCCTGGCGCTCGGCATTAATGGGTACAGCAAGGACTGTTCGGCTCGGAGTCAGTATAATGTGTCTGAGTGGGGTATTCTTGTTTCACTGCGGCATGGTATCTCAGTGAGCTGGCACTATAAAACCAGCTAGTCTGGGCTAGTACAAGCAGCCGCACATACACATACACACTCATGCACGTCGTCATATGAGCTAAATATTCTCAAGCACGTTGTTAAACCCAATTTCACCTCACCTCACCCTTGTCAGTTTGTGATGAAAGGGTAACATTGAATCATGTTACACAGGTTTTTCTTAATAAGAATTAAGAAGGTCGTGTGATGCAATTGTTTTGTTTGGAAAATTTTCAACAGTGTTAAATACTAAGCGCTTTATTACATTTAACCTCCGGTTTGATGTTTTCATTGGTAAGCAAGAGTCCTTTTGAAAGGCTTATTTCAACCAAGCCAATACAGTTTGGCATGGAAAAACAGGCATTTTAGAGAGTTTGATGTTTGCATCTAAACTTTGTGTTACAGCTCAATCCTCCAAATCCCAGGCGAGTCCACCCTCAAACGTAACTTCCAGCAGATCCAGGAGAGGGAAGCTCGGGGCAACCAGCAGTCGCGCCATGCCCACCACCACCACCAACACCAGCAGCAGCAGCAGCAGCAACAGCGTCAACATGACCGTCGCAGCCAGCATGGACAGCGTCCACACTCTGGCCACGGACAGCGTGTCCCATCTAGTCAGTACATCCCACCCTCACAGCCCCACGGCGGACATGAACCACCCAAACAGTTCCCTTTCCAGTCCAGGCCAATCGGTTTGTACCACCAAAGTCAGCTAATGTTTAACATATCGGAACACAATTATGTGAATACCCAGGTTCGATTCCCCACTTGGGTACTATGCGTGAAGCCCATTTCTGGTGTCCCCAGCTGTGGTATTGTTAAAATATTACTAAGAGCGGTGTAAAACCATACTCATTCACTATATGTACTCATGATTGTCCAGAATTTTTGTTTTTTATACTGTCTTGTCCTAATTTGAAATCCAATTTTAGAGAGAGATGCTAGTTTTAATTCTTGATACTGTGATATTCTAGTTGGTTTAACTGTCCTTTGTTGACAGGTTATTATAATTGACATATATTTATGGTCAATTTGAAACTAGTTTTAGTCATGATATGGCTGAAATATTGCCGATGTGACTGTAAATTTTAACTCACTCACTCACCGGGAATTTTTGTCATTGTCAGTGTCTTGAAAGAAACCAGTGCTGTGTTCTTTAACTAGAATATTGCTGGAAGATGGCAGGATGGAATTAATTGTCTTCAGATATCTGACTAGTCCATACTTGAGAAGTAGGCAAGATGAAAGTCAGGTCGTAAAAGACCTTGAGTTGCTGTTATGTTGCTCTTATGAGGGAGATAACTCTTGGCAACATCTGTTAACAATCTGGCCGTAACAGCATTTGGTATTTTGCAGTCTTTTATTGCCACTGACAGCAACTGCCCTCATAACATGTACAATTTTACCACTTCACAATCTCTTGAGACCTGGCTCAGTTCAAACGCATACACTGTCATATCTTTGAATTATCAACACACCCTCTCGATCGCTGCATGCCTCTTCTGACTGACTGACTGAGTTTGGTTTTACGCGCCGCTTTTAGCAATATTCCAGCAACATCATGGCAGGGGACACCAGAAATGGGCTTCACACATTGTACCCATGTAGGGATTCGAACCCGGGTCTTTGGCGTGATGAGCCAACGCTTTAACCACTAGGCTACCCCACTGCCCCTGCCTCTTCTGAAGCCCAATGTTGGTTTATGTCAACTGAACATGACTTGTATTTCTTTAAACCAATGATTAGTCTCTGAATATATATAATTTTGATAGAGACAAACAATTCCTTTTAAATTGAAAAGGAGTCCCACTGAGAAGAGATTTCTGAAGCTGAGGAAATCTAGACTTCATTTAGTCCTTTAGCATTGCAGGAGGGGTATGCGAATGGGAAATCATGTGGTTCAGGGACAGTAAGACAGACTAGTATTTCATTGGTTGTCCTTGTCTTCCAGTTATGCCGGACCCTAAGAATCCAAGCTCCAGTGCTGGCCAAGCTATGCAACTCGACCATCCCATCAGCCGCCCCTCCGGCATGTTTGGTGGACCTGTCAACAAACCAGAGGTAACACAGAATACAAGTTTGGTGTTTTAGATGGACAGGCTCCACATTTCCATCATAAGTATAATGAAATTAAAATTCAGAATGTTTCAACTTTTTGGGCCTTGTGAAATCTTTTGGATGACATCTACAGTATGGCATTGTGATTGTGATTTGTCTGCATATATCACAGATAATGACCAACAATTTTAAGTAAAGCCTACATCTATACTACCCATCAAAAGTTTAGACTCACTTAAAGCACTCACTGCAAACCTTGTGCAGATGAATTGCACGAGGATCATGCATCAAATTGCTGAAAAGCATCTGCAAATATGGTGCATGTGAACTTCTGCGTTTGGTGTAAAGTTTTGTTAAGAAATCGCAATTTTTCACTAAGTTTCATCATTTTTTGAACTCATGGCAATAATCTTTTCAACGTTACGAATTTGTTTTACAATGCATCAGTTCATATGTAAATAGTACCTTTAAACAGTATGGAATATTTTGCTAAATCTAGTTTAGAACAGTTGCCTGAAGTAAGTAGCTACATTTACGCTAGTGAGTCTAAACTTTTGATGGTTAGTATATGTCATGAGAGAGCATAAGGTGGTTCAGGTGATGAGACTGTTTGCCTCACTCATGACGACATGCTATCATAAGTGCCAGGATCAATGGTAGTGATGTCAATCACTGGATTGTCTCAGCCGGGCTGGACAATATTGCTGAGTGTGGTGTTCAAAAACAGAAACAAGGGGGACTAATGGATGTTGTGTCTCATAACTCTAATCCTTGGTACACGTGAAGATCCGGGTTAGACTGAATCTTCAGTAACCCATGCTTGTCGTAAAGAGGCGACTAACGGGATTGGGTGGTCAGGCTCGCTGGCTTGGTTGACACATGTCATTGTATCCGACTGGCGTAGATTGATGCTCGTGCCGTTGACCACTGGATTGTCTGGTCCAGACTTGATTATGTACAAACCGCTGCCATATAGCTGGAATATTGCTGAGTGATTCGTTAAACAACAAACAAACAAACTAATCCATGGTTCACAGAGACTTATGACTACAATAATATTGCTCACAATGACCTTGATGTATCCTGACAAAATATAGGTATATTGGACTCACAGCATGCCTTTGGACTCTTTCTGCAAAGACAGATAACATTTAAGGCTTGTAAACGTGTATGAAAGTTAGCTGTACACATGAAGGACTTGTTTCATATTTGTATCTTCACATCACAGTGTGAACAGCATGAGCATGACTGGGATTCTGATTCATGTAAACAATTTGTTGTTCCAAGCTTGATATAAGGCTGTAATGTCATCGAATGGCTGAACAGGTGGCAGTGTGTATTACCGGACACTATCGCTGAAAGATGCTTCACATGCTAAGAGGGGCGGTGGGGTAGCCTAGTGGTTAAAGCGTTGGCTCGTCACGCCGAAGACACGGGTTCGAATCCCCACATGGGTACAATGTGTGAAGCCCATTTCTGGTGTCCCCCGCCGTGATGTTGCTGGAATATTGCTAAAAGCGGGCGTAAAACTAAACTCAGTCAGTCAGTCACATGCTAAGACATGACACTATTGATGAAGTGGCCTATATTGTCTTTGCATGTCTGTGTATCAAGAGTGGGTGTCCAAAGTTGCTGAAGATGGCCTATTGTATATAGCCGTGTATTGCCTTGTGTATATAGTACATAGTGTATATTGTACACTGCCAAGTGCATTATGGCTATGGCTATATGATCCTATATTTTAATGAGGTAGATATGTAGAGCTGTCACTGCTTGTTTGTTACCACAGAATGACCAAGAGGTGAGAACAGCTATATTTTTTGCAGTCGCCGTAGCATCACGTTAACCCTTAGACTGCTAGACCATTCATATTCTCAAACTGAAGAAGGAACAGTTTGGAGTGACATTGTATTGTTTTCACATATACTAACTATGACAATAAAATTACGATGTCGAACAAAAAATGCAATTAAGTGAATAAAAACATTTTCAAGATTTTTAAGCATAGTAGAATATGTCACATATAGGTTTCGCATAAAAGTAATCCTTTTTTAATCATTTGTTACCCTCGATATAGTAATGCATGCTGATTGGCGTAATAGATGACCTAAGCTAATTAACATGAGCACACTGAAGCATGTGAGGACATTGCTCTGGTTGGAGGGTTAACTGCTTTTGCCTTAGTTGGGAGTTATCTCCCTTGCCAACTAAGATGGCGTTCAGGCAGTCATTATGTAGTCAAGCTTTTGCTTCAGATATATTTGTATTTATCAGAGCCTACATCATCATCGTCTTCACAACTTAACTTGATCGACATTGGAGTTTGTGAAGTGTCAAGTTTCACATTGGTGTTTTCTGTTGCACATGTATCTACTGCACAACTCTGGGGGAAATACTTCTGTGTCTCATGAATTTTTTTTTCAGATTTTGTGTCCATTATCTTTTGCCATCCAGCTTTCTATTCTCTCTTTTTCATTGTGGAGTCTTTAAACATGTCGTCACATCATGCAATGCACATTCTCACAATGGGACCTAAAATGATGTTTCAGCCACAATGAAGTAAATGATTTTCATCTGCAACTTGATCATGAGTGAATTCTGATAATGTTTTGTTACATTTTAGTAATTTATGAAATTGTTAAATGATATCTTTCTGTGAGAACATAATTCTTACTGCATTTTGAAAGGTTAGTGTTACATTTGGGTAATTTATGAAATTGTTAAATGATATCTTTCTGTGAGAAAATAACTGTTACTGCATTTTGAAAGGTTAGTGTTACATTTGAGTTATTTATGAAATGGTTAAATGATATCTTTCTGTGAGAAAAAAAAAGTTACTGCATTTTGAAAGCTTATTTGACCCTATTTTACCACAAATAGTGAATATTGTCAGGTCTGTATAACACTTGAAGTCTGCATGCTTACAGTAATATTCGTCTTGATGAGTGTAACACCCCTAGGTGTCATGTATTACTTTTGTGTACTACTCATTCCTATTCCAAGTAGATAGATGATTTTATGTTTATGCTTCAAGTCAAAATAGGGGCGGTGGGGTAGCCTAGTGGTTAAAGCGTTGGCTCGTCACGCCGAAGACTCAGGTTCGATTCCCCACATGGGCACAATGTGTTAAGCCCATTTCTGGTGTCCCCGCCGTGATATTGCTGGAATATTGCTAAAAGCGGCGTAAAACTAAACTCAGTCAAGTCAAAATAACTAAGAGAATTTCAAGCACTGTCTGCATCTGTAATACATCGTACTTCAAGGCGAAAATCAATAATCATTAGCGCTATATTTGTCTGAATGAAACTTAAATACTTCTGTGCAATGTTTACACAATCTTTTTCTTTTTCTTTCAGCGTTATTGTATATTAATCATGTATCACATTATCAAGATAAATACAATTGTAAATATGACTTTCCCTTGTACTTCTGCAAGCTTGAATGTGTGGTTGTTAGGGTCAGACACAGTAAGTGTAGATGGAAATCATGTTACTCCATTTGGCTTGACGCTGAGGACTTTGGGTAGGATCACTTTGTAAGCAGGCACAGTTGCTAAAACTTTTCTTGATGCTTGAGCTATTAACTCTGTATCTACCCTGTAGCAAGGTAGAGGAGGATGTCCTGATCAACATTGCGGCACACGTCGGTTGTCTTTCAGTGGGTCCGTTGTTTGGATCTCTAAACAAGTTTCACGATTTATTTTGTACTCAGTGTTTGGGAAATCATTTCCCAATGCAGGGAATTAAACTATCAATATATTTTTGTCCTGAAAGTTTGATGTTGGTTTTTAGTAAATGCGCCCTTCCAAATTATGTCAAGATTAATTTTTCTGTTATCCCAGGAGATTTTCAAATGTTTCAGCCTTGCAAGTGTTTTTGTGTCATTTAACTTGTGAACAGAGTAAATGAGAACATGGGGACATATATGACCCTGAATTGTTTGGTAGCATTCAGTAGGTTTATATTAGATGTTTTGGAGATATTAGGTGTTTAATGTCATTATGCGTGTTGCAGGATCTGGAGAGACTGGCTGCACATCTCAGTAAGATGGGTGCTGAGGAGCGTCAGGCTCGAACTGTTATCGTTGAGGATGATGCAAGTGACGAGGACGAAGATGACGAGGATGACGACATCAATCGTGATGGCACCTTGCCTGCCTCAGAACCAGCCAGACCTCTGTAAGTTGTGTACTGCATATGGCCAACTATGACTGAACCGTTTGTGTACAGATACTTAGTAATGTATCTGTACAGTGTCATCTCAAGCTAGATGCTTGATTGGCATTTTAGAAGATGCTTTTTTGATAAACATAAAGAATTGTCTGGATTTCAGAAAATTCTTTATGTTCATCTCAAGCTAGTTGTGTCAGGTTCACAGGAACAGGGAATGGGAGATTTCTGATTTAGCGCAGTGGTAGTTTAAAGACGATTCGTTTTATTAATGAAAACTGCACATGATTAACTGACATGGGTTGATAGGGGATTTTACATGGCACTTGCTCACGTGGACTGTAGAGAATTTCGAATGCCGGGACACAGCTGGTTGAATTGCAGAAACTTCTGATCTATCTTCAAGAATATACAGTGATGTGTAAAATGTGATTGTTTTGTGTTAAATGGCATAAATTAGTAACTAAATTATGTGGATTAGTCTTTGCTTTGGTTTACGTTTCAGTGATAGAATACATGTTACTGTTTCTTTCCTAAGATCAGACAAAGTTACACAAAGCATGTTTTATCTGACTAAGTGATTATTTATCATTTATACAATGTTTCAATCCTATATTAGTAAAATCACTTTCAAGGAGGATGACATTTGATACCATTCATGTATTGATGCCTTGATGACAAGCTGTCAGTGATTAAGGAACATAGCCTTTGACTCCTTTAGCAGCCTGCATATCTGGAGGCAGTATGTATATAACAGGGCTGTACGCTCTGCCCCTCTCTCTCTTTGTTATCATGGAACCTTTGCTTCAGGACTCAATGCACTGCCGGCATAGCAACTTCAAGTTTATATGAAAGATGATGAAAATACATGTTACCTTATCCTGACTCACTATTTGCTTCTCTGGCTGGTCATGTAGGAGGTGGTGATACCTCTTTTGTCAGACACTTGAGTGAGGGTGGAGAATGCTCTACCCTACAGCAATAATAGATCAGTCTGATCAGTTCTAATTAGCCCAAACTCTGGTCACTACTCCCCAAATTAATAATACCCTGTTCTTTCGTATGGTTTATTTGTTTTTTAGTCCATCAGCCCATGTACATTATTGAACATAAATATTATGGCCATGTGGTGGGGTGCGTTCCGGTGAGATGTTTTTACTGTTCTTCGGGGAAGATAACACAGATGTCTCCATTGTATCTCAGTTTAAGTGAGAGTGAGGCAATAAGTATGAGTCAGGATAAGTATAAAATAATATTTTTAACTCTTAAGAAAATACATTTTCATACAACTAAATCTTATCCTAGTTAAAAACCATCAAACTGTTTGCAGTCCATTATCTTCTTGAAACATTTTCTAAATCATAATGTTATTCAAATAACTCTGACAGTACAACTGTACTTGCTTTCCATGGGCTTGTCTGCACTGTTGGCTCCTGAAGCAGCTTCCGTTTCAATTTTCCAAGCATGCATTATGCATGAACAACATGATCTGACATTGAGTTACCTGGGTGGTCGAACACTGAAAGTAATTTTATGATTTAAACAGAATGCATTCAAGTCTAGTCAGCAGCTACTCGGTGTAAGTATGATAGGACAGTGAGGATTAGATGTGCTTCCCCAATCCTCCTCCATTGCAGCTTGTATCATAGACCACCCTGTTTCAGTTCACCCGTCTCTAGCATGGGCATGACAGTTATTGTTTTACTTTGTTTTTTGTTTGCTGTGTTTGTGCGGTTTATTTTGATCCTTGTAGCATTTTAGAGATTTTATCTTAGTACATATCTGTCCCTTGTGTGACTGTCCCTACATGATTTTCCTTGATAATGGTGTAAGACAATGATCAGCTTTGCAGAGATGTATATTTGAAACCTATGATCGTGCCAGATTTGCCATCATTGTGTTTCTAGGTTTTTCAACACCCATGCACGTGGTTTACACTGAAGTGGTAGATGTCTGGAGGCCTGCATTACTTCCGGTTTTCCTCACATCAGGATGTCACTCCCTGGCATAACTGAAATGTTGATCATAGCAGTGTTTAACACAAGTTGTGCCCCTTGATTTGCCAGGATCTGATCATTGTCTGTATTTCATGGAAAACTTCGGTACAGAGTTGCGTCCCTTAGGTGACAGTTCTCTGCTCTTCTAGAGCATGGGCAACCAGGTTGTCTAACCACGTCGACTCTGGGTCCAGTGACAGTTGTCCCTTAGCTGACAGTTCTCTGCTCTTCTGGAGCATGGGCAACCAGGTTGTTCTCTGCTCTTCTGGAGCATGGGCAACCAGGTTGTCTAAAGCAGGTCGAGGGGTACAATTGTGTCCCTTAGCTGACAGTTCTCTGCTCTTCTGGAGCATGGGCAACCAGGTTGTCTAAGGCAGGACGACTCGGGGTACAGTTGTGTCCCTTAGCTGACAGTTCTCTGCTCTTCTGGAGCATGGGCAACCAGGTTGTCTAAAGCAGGACGACTCGGGGTACAATTGTGTCCCTTAGCTGACAGTTCTCTGCTCTTCTGGAGCATGGGCAACCAGGTTGTCTACCAGGTTGTCTACAGGACGCTCTTCTGGGGGTACAGTTGTGTCCCTTAGCTGACAGTTCTCTGCTCTTCTGGAGCATGGGCAACCAGGTTGTCTAAGGCAGGACGACTCGGGGGTACAATTGTGTCCCTTAGCTGACAGTTCTCTCTGCTCTTCTGAGCATGGGCAACCAGGTTGTCTACAGCAGGATGACTGTCCAGTTGTGTCCCTTAGCTGACAGTTCTCTGCTCTTCTGGAGCATGGGCAACCAGGTTGTCTAAAAGCAGGACGACTCGGGTACAATTGTGTCCCTTAGCTGACAGTTCTCTGCTCTTCTGGAGCATAACAGGTTGTGTCCCAGGGCTGACAAGTGTCCCTTAGCTGACAGTTCTCTGCTCTTCTGGAGCATGGGCAACCAGGTTGTCTAAAACACGACAACTCTGGGTACAGTTGTGTCCCTTAGCTGACAGTTCTCTGCTCTTCTGGAGCATGGGCAACCAGGGGCAACCAGGTTGTATAAAGCACAGTTGTGTCCCTTAGCTGACAGTTCTCTGCTACTGGAGCATGTTGTCTAAGGCAGGACCACTCGGGGTACAATTGTGTCCCTTAGCTGACAGTTCTCTGCTCTTCTGGAGCATGGGCAACCAGGTTGTCTAAGGCAGGACGACTCGGGGTACAGTTGTGTCCCTTAGCTGACAGTTCTCTGCTCTTCTGGAGCATGGGCAACCAGGTTGTCTAAGGCAGGACTCTCTGCTCAGTTGTGAGCATGGGCAACAGTTCTCTGCTCTTCTGGCATGGGCAACCAGGTTGTCTAAAGCAGGACGACTCGGGGACAGTTGTGTCCCTTAGCTGACAGTTCTCTGCTCTTCTGGAGCATGGGCTACCAGGTTGTCTAAGGCAGGACGACTCAGGGTACAATTGTGTCCCATAGCTGACAGTATATGCTGTCTGCTGCTTAAGAAACCCAATATACAATGCTTGGCATTTAACCATTATGACTGTGCCCAAAGGTTTCATCACAAAGGTACTATCAACAACAGTTGCCTTCGGGACTTGACTCTCAGCTCACATACAGTGATGGTAAGGAAGCACTGTTAAAGGGAGCCATATACATAGTAACACTCCTTCAATTAATGGACAGTTAGGGGTGATGTCACATAGCGAGAAGTGTAATTTGTTTCATTTGCATTTCCTCACCAAATATAAAACTGTTCTGCCTAATATTTGGTGATATAGCCCTTGAAGTGTAAGCTCTTAACATCCTGCAGGTGGAATGCTCCTGTAGTCAACAGTGGAAGATTCCCATGTCATGTAGCTCTCCTTGCAGATCTTCAACGGTGTTGTTATGAACATGTGATTACAAATGTATAGAGAGACTGCTAGCAGATGCCAACAAAACGAAAACGAATTATGTTCCCATTTCAAACCTATGACGCCAATATTTATTCAATAAACCATTCTTACCATAACTGGACCTGAGAAACATAATCAGTGATCACAGGGACTTCTTAAGATAGAGGTCGGTGGGGTAGCCTAATGGTTAAAGCGTTGTCTCGTCACGCCGAAGACCCGGGTTCGAATCCCCACATGGGCACAATGTGTGAAGCCCATTTCTGGTGTCCCCTGCCGTGATGTTGCTGGAATATTGCTAAAAGCAGCGTAAAACCAAACTCAGTCAGTCTTAAGATAGAAAGAACATGAATAGCTTCTCACCAGAGACATGTAGTAATTATAATACAACAGGCCACCTGTAGGTTTGCCTTCCCTTGCCTATTTATAAAACACCGGTAATGGCAGTGTTACTTCAATTTTCAATTTGAAATCCAGGCATATTTTCACTATTATTCACCATGCTTCAGCTTCCGTGCTGGTGTATAAATGAAATATACCATGTAGAGAAAATGTTAGTGCTAGGCTGTACAAGGTGCTTGAAGCTTTAATATACCCATGCTCAAATTGTAATCTTGGATTTACTGTGATTCATTGGAAAAAACAACTAGTCCATATTTTAGTTTCAGTGGTCTTGGATTCATGGTCTTATGGCCTTCACTCTCCCTGATGTACCCCAGAACCATCGTCAATTTCGATCACTGTTCACATAAACCCTGAAAGGCCTTGAGATTGGAATGACTGACATTCAAGAATTAATGCTGAATATAATGCTTAGAATTTGTACAAATTCAACTGTTGATCAAAGATGCAGGACAATAATAACAGGTCATTGTGCTCAGTGTGTGTTGAATCATAAACGAGAGTACTTTACACATGCAAACAGGGTAATATGTTTGCTCAGTATCTATATGAACAATAACTTACTATGATCAGACAAATCTACTGGCAAACATGCAGTCACTTTCTGAGTATGAGACCATCAGACTTGTTCACTTGTCTTTCATGGTCCCAAAGTACATTTAAAGGTTTCAAGACCGAAGGCATGGCTTAGAACTTGAATTGACCCTCAAACTTGAGAACTTGATTAATCGGATGAGGAATGGTAAGAACTGCACTTTCGGATGCATGATTTAAGTGAGCCGATAGGCATGTGTGCAGTTCTATTTCTTATTCCCGCTCTGCTATCAAGCTGCAGTGAGTGAGTGAGTTTAGTTTTATACCGCACTCAGCAATAGTCCAGCTATATGGCGGCGGTCTGTAAATAATCGAGTCTTGACCAGACAATCCAGCGATCAACAGCATGAGCATCGACCTGCTCAATCGGGAACTGATGACATGTGTCAACCAAGTCAGCGAACCTGACCACCCGATCCCGTTAGTCGCCTCTTATGACAAGCATGGGTCTACTGAAGATCAACTCTAACCCAGACCTTTAGGGTATATGAAGCTGTAAAAGTCACCAAAGACTTCTCATTCACATAAAAAAAGGAGAAAATAGTTCTTTTTGACATGAAAATAGTTCTGTTTCATACTGACACTTTCAGCAAGCAGACATTCAATTGATACTTATCATTTTAAAGTAGATAGTTGCATGTCATAACATGTTTTTTCTTTGTCATAGATTAACAGTTTTTCAGCATTTTAAGACGGCCTTATTAAAAATAAAATTGAGACTTTATAATGATGGTTAAAATAGTGTTAATTTGTTAAATGTACAATTCAAAGTATTGCTTACTCAACTAAATATTACTGACTACTGTCAGACTGGTTTACTCTGCAGTTTTTTAGTCATCAGTTTCAAGAAAATGGTGTTGGTGTGCAGACAGAAGCTCCATGTACAATTGTATTTCCTTCATCACATGTTAAGCATGACTCTCTGCTCTGTTTCAGTCCACCTGGCGGCTTCTCAGTGGACACCGGAGAGACACAGTCCTCCATGGTTATACATGAAGGTGAGGACCAGACCTATAGGCAGTGTATGAAATAAGCCATAAACCCAGCCAGACATCAGGGCTGGTAACATTTTGAAGTTACTCCCAATCACTGGACCGCATCCGTGGTGTAGTGGTTAGAGCATCCACCCGGAGAGCGGAAGGTCGCGGGTTCGATCCCCGACCGCGTCATACCAAAAGATGTTAAAATATGGTACTTGTTGGTCCCTGCCTGGCGCTCGGCATTAATGGGTACAACAAGGACTAGTCGGCTCGGAGTCAGTATAATGTGTCTGAGTGGGGTATTCATGCTTCACTGCGGCATGGTATCTCAGTGAGCTAGCACTATAAAACCAGCTTAAGTCTGGGGTAGTACAAGCAGCCGCACATACACATACACACGCATGCACATCGTCATATGAGCGAAATATTCCCAAGTACGACGTTAAACCCAATTTCACCTCACATCACCCAATCACTGCCTTATTTGGTCTTCTTTTATTTCTTAATTACCAGCTGTTGTAAAGCCTAAGGTAGAAAAGTTTGTATTCATTTTGTGCATTTTTGTAGGGATTTTACAGACGTTTCATTGATAATGACTATTTGGGAATTTGTCAAACTTTAAATCTGTCTCATTTTGAGTGTCAATTTTTGCAGAGATGATGTTTTACCTACTTTGTTTTATGTTTGAAAACACTCGAAATGAATAATGGTGAAATGCAGGTAATAATCAAATCTATGTTTACTGTATTGCAAAAGTTACCTCCCTTCTAATGCCTTTTCAAGTACATCTTGAAAAACACAAGGAAAATTGAAGTTCACGTTGTCGTATTGACTTCATAACTCCTGCATTTTGCTTTACTTTACATTTTTCTTATATTCAGTCCTATTTCTTCAATATTCCTCACTAAACCATGACTATTTTCCAGACATGCCCCCACCCCGCGTGCCAAACATTGACTCTGGACACAATCTGAGCAAAGTGAACGAGGATGATGGAGAGAATACCCTGGTTGCCAGAAGGGTGAGCAGGAAACTCTCTTATCACGGAAGTCACAGTAGCTACTGCCTGTACATACTCTCATAACTTAACTAGAAAGTTCCTCATGTCAGTTACCTCTTGAAGTATTTGTGGTCTCATTATGTAACAGAATTGAGGGTTTTTTTTGCAACTCATTTGTTGATATTAACAAAGCACCTTGTAAAATTCATGATGTCGAAAAAATATAGACCACTGTCTTGACGGTTTTGATGCAGGCTAGTGGTTCCTGTGACTTGTTATTCTTCTTTCAGTCAAACCAATTTCTTTTCTATTTTTTATGGATGAGCAATTTCTATATTGTGTTAGATATTTTAATGTCAGGAGCTGCAAAATTTCTAATGCAGTCTCTTAGTAATCACTCATTATGTATTCATATATACATCGTCCTAAAGACATTTATTTTTATTTTATTATTTTTTTATTTTATTTTTTTATCTAATATTGTATGTATTTAGGAATTTGTCATAAGTATCCATGAACAGAAATGGAATTGGTTTGACCTAAGTATTCAACACAGTTACATTGATGATCACACTTAATGTATTCTCACTTTCATGCAGAAGGCTGACACTGAACAGGTAGGATTTCCAACATATAGACAGCCACTGACACAAACATTACCATAGAGACTAATCACATTGTCACATAGACAGGCAACTCTGTGGTACTGGGTCTCAGCAGAAGCTATAACAGCAGGATATCCATAGATGTGTATTGGCTGCTACTAGCTAGATTACACGCCTACTGTAGAACATGTTGCAGCAGCGCAGGACAGCTGAACACATGTTTACTGATTACTGTATATAGAAATATACTACTCACATTTTGCTAAGGATCACAAAAATTCGCAACTTTACTTAAACGTAGTTTTATAATTTGAAATCGTATCCATTTAAAACTGGATAAATGATATGGTAACACATCTTTAAGAAAACAGCCACTTTAAGCTATCCGTATGCACTTGATACATGAGTAACCATAAAATGGTTTTCATGGCACCAATCAACCATTTTGCAAATCATAGCACGGGTCATTGATAAGTACACAACACCTGTCAATAGCAGTATGGGATCCACCAGATGAAATGACATACTGAAAACTTGGATCCATGCGTACAAAAGGCCTAGATATTTAAACCAAATTTGACCCCACATCATAGTTTTCTGTTGAATTGATGATTTGATCCTTAGCAAAGTGTGAATAGTATACTCATATTTCTTTACATACAGCTGTTCAGTGAAAATATAAATTGAGTATTATGATTGTTATGAGGTCAATTTAAGACTGGTAATTCCCCTTTGAAAAAGCAGTACTGTACATTATCACTGCATAATTTGTGGGTATTTTGTGATTGTCTTGCTGGTGAAGGCAGAATAACCTGTAATCCAGGATAAACCAGTGAATACTAATGACTTTTATCACTTTAAGCAATGAGACAATAACAGCTTCACTAAACCTGCTTGTAGACAGAAACAGAGGTGACCTTTGGAATGATGGATAAAAATAACAGTTACAAGAGAAATCACTCATTATCTTACACCTAGAACAATCTGTACATCTTTCACCTTACCATGGGTGGCCTAGTGGTTAAAGCATTTGCTCATCACGCCGAAGGCCTGGGTTTGATTCCTCACATGGGTACAATGTGTGAAGCCCATTCCTGGTGCCCCGCCATGATATTGCTGGAATATTGCTATAAAAAAACTAACTTGCTTTTCATTCACCAAACATGATGAGATTTCAAGATATGTCATAAGTCTGCCTTCAGTGTGTTACATTCACGCAGTTTGTGAAATATGTGATATGTCTTTTGTTTGTACGCTGACATGGAACTTAATCATAGGCCCTTTAAGATAATCGCACACTTGCTGTCGGCTTAGTGTAATAAACATCAAGAAAAGTTTAACCTTTATTTTTCTGACCATGCATGAAATTATTGTCAGATTAACGGGGACAACTGTCAGACAATTGGTCTGGCCCATTTTAATCTATCATATCAAATAACCATAGAAACTGTCTGTGGTTCTGTCTGTGATGTGGCACACTGTTGTAAACGTGCATAGGAGTCCGTTATTGTTTATCAGAGTTGACAAAATGAGACATTCTGAAATGGGTTTTATCTTTATGAGCTAGTTCAGTTATCTAAATGGTGACATTCACTGATATGATAGGTTTATGAGGTTTGCAGTTAGCAGACAAAACAATACAACAAACATTTTGCACTCACAGACACATAACACAGAATATTTATCATCCAGATGATACCTGGCTATAACAACCTAGTTGTTAAGTTTAATTGTTCTGTACTTTTCTCTTTCCAAGATATTATTTAAGGTGAAGTCTCACAAGGTAAGGCTGATTTGTGCTCTGGATTTGTGCTTTCATTCTTCTCTAACATTTGTCCTTGATTACATGACACATATTTATTGATAACAACTTCATAAAAAGTGTCATGTATTCATGTCAGTCCAACTTCTAAATGCCTTTCAAGAACTTAGTTTGTGTCCTTCATGAAGAACAAGTTTGAAGTTGTCTTGATGGAGGTTCATTAAATGAAGTGGATGCAGTGGATGATCTACCGCATCTCCAGTAGTGATTGGTGTGATTGGGCCTCACTGAGAACTTACATGTGTGCGGTGTTGTGTTCCACAGTTCTCATACAGCGTGATGTAGAGTGTAGTGTAGTGAAGCTTAATACTTTATTTGATATACACATCAGAAGATTAGACAAACGGTCTCTATGTTTTGTGTAGTCAGGATCGTCTGTTATCTCTGATGAAATACTTCTGGCCCTGATGAACACCATCTAGTCCTGACCCAGATGAACACCATCTAGTCCTGACCCAGATGAACACCATCTAGCCTTGACCCTGAAGAAAACCTCCTATAGTCCTGACCCAGATGAACACCATCTAGTCCTCACCCAGATGAACACCCATCTAGTCCTGACCCAGATGAACACCATCTAGTCCTCACCCAGATGAACACCATCTAGTCCCCAGATGACACCATCTAGTCCGAAGACAAAACCTCTCATATAGTAGTGACCCAGATGAACACCATCTAGTCCTGACCCTGAAGAAAACCTCATATAGTCCTGACCCAGATGAACACCATCTAGTCCTGACCCAGATGAACACCATCTAGTCCTGACCCAGATGAACACCATCTAGTCCTGACCCAGATGAACACCATCTAGTCCTGACTCCTGAACAAAACCTCATACCGTATAGAGTGACCCAGATGAACACCATCTAGTCCTGACCCTGATGAACACTCATATAGTCCTGACCCAGATGAACACCATCTAGTCCTGACCCAGATGAACACCATCTAGTCCTGACCAGATGAACACCATCTAGTCCTGACCTGGATGAACACCATCTAGTCCTGACCCAGATGAACACCATCTAGTCCTGACCCAGATGAACACCATCTAGTCCTGACCCTGATGAACACCATCTAGTCCTGACCCAGATGAACACCATCTAGTCCTGACCCAGATGAACACCATCTAGTCCTGACCCAGATGAACACCATCTAGTCCTGACCCAGATGAACACCATCTAGTCCTGACCCTGATGAACACCATCTAGTCCTGACCCAGATGAACACCATCTAGGCCTCACCTGATGAACACCATCTAGTCCTGACCCTGATGAATACCATCTAGTCCTTGCTGTGATGAATGCCATCTGGCGCTGACCTTGATTAACATCATCTAGTCCTTTCCCTGATGAGCGGCATGTAGCTCTGATGATCACCATCTTGCCCCAGTGTATGCCAACTGTCCCTTGATTGCATCGTTTGAGGAATAAGAAAAGGGGACTTTATTGAGTTTGTTGTCACACATTCCACAACAACTGAATACAATGCCTTTATTGGAAACTTGAAGAAAACCAGCATAAGTACATTTGTCACTGAATGGGTAATATCTTGTGTACTGTGAAAATGAACAAGACAATACTTTCTAGTTTTCTAGTTGCCTGAGCCATTGGCAGATATGCTAGTGTTCACATTCAATGGTCAGATGCATTATCCTTTGTGTATCACCTGTGTTTTACAGCAGTATGTTCTATATGATTTTACTTGCTCTCACCAGTTGCGGGGGTTTTACTAGATATGAAGCATTATTCTAAAAAAGAATTGCTTGGACTGATAATGAAGTTCTATGTTTCATATATGAGGGAAAAACAGCTATTTATTTGTATGTGGCTATACACAAATGGCATCATATGAGCTATTTTTGTCTCCATTTTCACGATACCTTGTCAATTATCCGCCATTGCCACCTCTCAGCACGCCCACAGAGCTTGCCTACTAATCTGGCTTGTAAAGTGGTTGTCAAAAGTCGCCAGAGGTATCGCTGCATTGGTGAAGTGCCCCAAGGAACTTCAAGAATTTCTCCAACGTACTAACTGGCCAAAACATTCAACATTCACCAATTTACTCAAACTTAATCAGCATCTAATTCAATTTTTTTGCGTTGCTGCTCAACCATCACAACTGACCCACCCCTCAAGCAACACAAGGCGTGGAAACAAAGACCTGTGATAACGTGATTATTTCCAATGATGTGCAATACCTTCGGAGGCATATTTCAGTAATCGTATTCCCAAGATAAAATTACTTGTCATTGGGATAGGCCTTTGGCAGAGATTGCATTTTCTCAACCATTTTCTCTGCAATTTTGTCAGTGAAAAGAATTTCAAAATGGACGCTGTGTGGGATATCATTCAGAAATTGTGTAATCATGAATTTCATCCTTTGTTTGAGACCTGTAGCTGACATAAGGGAATTTTCCATTTTGCTCATGCCATCTCAACATTTCTAGCACATTGATCAGCAGCATTTCAGGGAATATAATTTGAATTTCAGGCCAGATATGACAAGGAGCTATTGATTTTTGTGAAAACTGATCATTAGCCGTCTCTATTCCAGACAGTTTCACATTCCTATTTTAAAGTTTTTGATTTCTTCTCGCGTGTTCAGAAATTTGACCACAATTAGAGTCTTCTTGTATGATTGTTATTCAGGCAGCGTGTTAAATCTCCATTTTCTTGGGATGAATATTTGCAGACAAAATCGGGTTATGTAGATAGTGGGTGCAATTATCTTGGAATATATTTCCATGATCAATCCTGAATAAAGATTTTTCCTATAAGCCAGACACAAAGTGTAGGGCTTGGAATCCCCAACCTACAGATGCTTCAATTTATTACCAAATGCAGGACAAAATCGGCCATCAAAGCTTGAATTTATGAATACATAAGACCCTTGTCTCCTCGTGAGATAAAAACGAAACATGAATTGCTCATTCTTTGAAGTGAGGTATGATGGCTGGAGTTTGTATTCATTACAGTCACATCCCTTGTAAGTATGTCATGACTCTTCCGTGAAATTACATTCTAATGTTTCCAATTGAAGGTTGTTTAAATTGGTCTGCAGACCTAGAACAGGCTGAGTAAGGCAAGACGTATGATTTGCCGATTGCACGACACAAATCAAGTCATGCCCTCTTGACATGCTTACTGCAAAAACATCTTGAATATAGGAGGAAGCTTAACATCAGTGTTAA